ACCCTCAACACGGGTCTATATGATCAACCTTATATTATAGGCAAAACCCTAACCGAAATGAAATCATGCGTAAGGCGTTATATACTGGACTACCTACGCGTATCGCGGCGTCGGGGTTCGCCGTGATGTGAACACGGTTTGGTCAGAGTAAAAATGATATTACGAAAATTCTGCAGCAGCACCTAGCTGGGCCAGTGCTCGCGATGGAAAAGGATGCACCGCCGGATGGACGCGATCTCGCAGGAAACCGCCAAATATAGTCATGTGTGTGCTCGGCCTTACAAACTGCGGGCACCGTGTGACGATAATATAGTACCACCTGTATAATAATATAATATTTAATATACTAATATAGGTACACGGAGAAAAGAGCGAGCGGTCGGTGACTATATAGTATATATAGGSGGCAGCAGCAACAGCAGCAGCAGCAGGTCGGACGGACAGAACGGCGGCGGCAATGTCGGCTCACATCAAAGGAAATTTAGATCTCCCGCTAACCCCGCGGACGTGGAGGCTAATAGAGGACCCCCCGGACCCCACGACACGCCCCCGCCCGGTGAACGCACGCTGTCCGTCGTCTCATTACGCGTACATACACATACGCGCGCGCGCTCATGCAATACACAACTGACTGCACTGACTGCACGAAAACCGAGGAAAACGACGCATCAGACACCGCCGACGTACACGAATAAAAATAATATTATTTTACGTTTATTATGCGTGTTGCGTGTAACAGTGCAGGTAATATGTACAATAATATCCRAGCAGCGTCTGTGAAATTGATCAGATTTCCAACAGGTATAGGTATAAGTACAACTGCAAAATAATACTCGATTAATCGTAGACATATAGTGATGCGCAAAATTTAATAAATAATGGTCACGGACTTACCACAATGCGAACATATAAGACATTTAATATGCCAACAATATCATTATTATTCAAGGCCTTATTGACGTTACCGATGTATATACTTAGGACAGGCATATCGTCGGAAAAATAGATTACTATACCAACGCGTATCGTATACTCTGCAGCAGTAGTAGCTATTGTAATATCGCAAGTTATATTGCAGTAAGCCAGTTTTTTGTGGTAAACGATTATTTATTTACCGTTTGATTAATGCGTCATGATGCGTGTTAAGATACCTAACATATATAATATCACATTTTGACAATAGTTTTACATTTCGTCGTGATCGACAAGAGTTTTCTCGGTTTGTTTTTTATACATCTTATATTATATTTTGATATCACTGTATTTCGGCACTGGAATAGGTATTAGTGCGATGGTTCATAAATCATAAAACGTGCAGATCGTGTTTCCATTAGTCAGAGTCCTCGGATACTACGAATAAACAGTTTTGAAACAAAATGCACAAGCCACAAATATKCGATTACCTATACTCGTACATTACATTGTTTTAAAATTATGTTATGAAACGTGTATTCGTGTGTTTACAGAGTGCTTAAAAACTACTGGAATTCGTATACCTAGAACACTTTTGATATCATATTTTCTTACTTTTTGAACACATTGTATATAGTAATAAATAATAATATAAATACATAATATACACGTCATGATGCGGTTTTGATTAGGTACGAGCCTCGTAATTCATATAATATGTGCACTGGCGCAATAATTTAGGAATTTACAATCAAAATTTATTGTGTTTATAGAGATACCTACGTWTTATGTATAGTCTATAGTAAGTTGTGGTTAGAAATCGTAGGTCGTCGAAGTTCGCATTCGACTCGAGACGATAACGAATAATAACGACGGAGGATCGCATTGAGCCATTGAGAGTTATTGAAACTATGTCATAATCATTATCAAGTGTATATAATAGGCTCGTCGAAACAACAATAATATTACGAATACAAGGATTTTCGTTCAAGTGTTTTCTGCGTCGGCGGTAACTTATTGTAATTAATATTACGCTGTTGGGCGGGCGGACGGTGGCGCGCGTGTATATGGTTTTTCGACTTTCTACCGTGATTGCCGGATTATAATAATAATAATAATAGTAATAGTATTAGTAATAGTAATAATGATGATAATAATAATAACAATAATAATAACAACAATAATAAGTAGTAAAAAGGAAGAAGAGCGGCGGCGTTTGAATGGCGTTGGCGCGTCGGATATATCTGTTATCTTATATATGCGTRTGCTTGTGTGTGTCGGTGGCGGCGCTTTTGATCCCGAGCGCGTTGCCTCTGGCCCGAAAACCGGTTGACAGTGTGTGTGTGTGTGTTGTGTTAGCGGGGCCGGTTGGATACTTATATATATATATAAATAATATGTGTATTATACGACGGACGCGTATCTCCTCGGCCCCGGACATAATTTGTACCGTGACGCGCGGCCCGGCGGCGGCGGTTCACCGTAAAGATCTTTATATGTATATATATTATATAGATCTTAACTAAGAAATATATACATATAAACACGTGTGTGTGTTATTATAATAATAATAATAATGTGTATAATACGAGCGTGCGGTCTTGCTGGCGGGCGCGACAAGCGGATTGTCGTCAAGAGTGCCGCTCGCGCGCGGTATCCCTACGCATGATGTATTATACATATGTATAGTCGCTTTAACCGTCATCGTTCGTGTCTCATATATTATTATTATTATTATATCGAACCTCTTGCGGCGCGTGTTAATTTTTGGAGGGAAACGAACGCGCTTTCAGATTCCGCGACTATTTGAGATGAACGAAAAAAAACAGTATATACGAGCTGCAGGCGATGCGTACGCAAGATGAGGTGAAGGGGGGAGGGAGGAAGAGGGAGAGGGAGAGAGAGAGAGAGAGTGAGTGAGTGCGTTCGGCGTGCACTTCCGCCGACCGCCCGGAACCGGCGGCGCCCCGTCGCGGAGACGACGCCGCTGCCGACGCTTTGATATGACGCTTCTATCCTTCGGTCACCTCACCCCTCTCCTTCCATCAAAAACCGTTCCATCACGACGTCYGCGGGATCTCTTTGAGACACGCCAACGTTATTTTTAAAAAAAACACAACACTTTACATAGCTAATAATAATATAATCTAATATGAGTATTATACGCGTATTTACGTCGTCCCGATTTACCGGCTACGTACTTAAATATTGTACGACATACGTGATAAATCATTTACCGAGTATTGACGACGATATGGTAGTAATAATTATATTAAAACCATGGTTTTACTATAGGTATTATGTGTATAATATATACTAAGTAAAAGTATGCCATATTGGCGGCGCTGACTTTCCTCCTTGTCTAAAAATGATTTACCATTATATTTTAATATATTTATAAGAAGAAAAAAATACCATTTCTCATAGGTACTATATCATAAAACATTAAAAACGATCGTATTCTCATATCTCTGCGATCGAAATAATTAATGTTCGATATGATTCCAATAATCCAATAGACATATTAAATATAAAGTAGGTATATAATATATTTTTTATAACCACACAAGTATACAATATTCAATATTCAAACTACGTAAATGCATTCTGATTTTATAAAAATGAATTAATAAACGTGGTAAGAAAATAATGTCAATAATACTAAATAGAAATATTACTATCAAGGTGACTACTAACAATCATCTGAATGATCATTATCATTTTTTTTGTATGAATTATCTCACGATTGTTAAGATTGTTGCATTAACGTATTTAATAATTTGCTGTAAATAAAATGTTRTAATTTCATTATCATATTATAACTTAACTATTCTATATTACATACATATATGTATTAATTTGTAAGCATTTTTATTTTTATTCAAATGTAAACAAATATTATTTTTAGTATGCTAAAAAATATACCTAAATGAACATTTTTGAAGAAATCGGTAAATGATGCACCTTTGCATGAATGTATCATGCAAACAATCATGATTGTATATGATATTTGATAAAATTAAGTTAACTATGACCAATAACATTGTAACATTGTTCTTTTTTTTACATTTTTTAGCATATACTAAACAATGAAAAAGAGGATTGAAATCTGTATTAAACGAGTTTATGTCTAATATTTAGAAATATAGGTGTATTTATGAGTCTAAGATTATGAAATGACCAAAAAATACTTTTACAAATAATGTTGTCAAAAAACATAGATATACAATTACTATAGTAGGTACTAGATAATAGATATACATTCATATTTTTTTCATTCCCAAAATATTTAAAAAAATGAAAAATTACATTATAGACACAATATTAATGTTTTGAATAAATTTCTATGAAATTTATTTATTTTACTTTTTAACAATTTGTTAGCCGACAATTCTGACATTTTATGTTATTGCGTGCATAACATAAAATAATAATATACCTACAGATAAAGTTAACAGTAAAAAGCATAATTATTATGATTTCTGTTAAATTGTTAAAATTTTAAGATTTTAACAATATTTAAAGAATAACCATTTTTTGGTATCATTTTCAGCTCTTTTTTCTCTAAATTGAAACAAATTTATAATTTCTGAACATAATATTATCATAATTAAAGTATTTTATGACTACCGTTATAATATTCTATAAATCTATACTAATACAAATAAGTACAGGATGACGGAAGAACTCATAATAGCTGCACGCATTTATTTAAAGTTATTATTATCCTTCTTAAAAATTGAATAAAAATTMAAGTTAAAAAATCAAAACAATCTTGATGAAAAAATACCAAAACCTAATATTTTAATAGATTATTTCATATGATTCTTATACGGTATATAGGCTATATTTATCTTAAGTTGGGAAACTATAAATGTCGATCACCAACATCGCTGTACTAAACCCACTAAAAATTAAAACCTAATTGAATTTCACAACGTTTTCTTTAAATCTAAAGCCTAAACTTATTGAGCTAATCGATCTCGCGAGAACGTATTATACTATGTAATGTAGGAATTCGTTTCATGTCACTATAGCTTAAGTATATAATATAATTTATGATATTTCATATCAGACAAACTGCTTACTTGTATTATATCCATGTGTGAGCGATGGTTCTCATTTAAGCATTCGGAAAACAGGCACGTGCTCGTGGCGTGTTGCAAAGGTTAGGCGTAGATGCAAATAGCAATATCTTCGGAATGAAAAAAAGCACATAAACGACGCACTATTGTTATCGTAGAGAATTATATTAAATCAAAGTTGACAACTGTAAACGCTTAGCAAATTGCCGTAAGTGTAATGTGAACAAATAAATAATAATTCAAGTAATAATAATGATATTATTAAGTATGCACGCAGTCGTTATTATTATAATAATATAAGTGAAAAKAGTCGCTGTCGGTGTATTCAAATATTATATTATATATTAATAATAATGTAATACGACTGATGGGCCGTGAACACCAGCGGACCACAGGAACACGCGGACGTCTGGTTCGAACTGGTATACCGCGCGTGAGTGGTCATATGGGAGCACGGAGCCTGTACACGAGACCTACCCCCTCCCCACCACGATCGACGTCGTGTTGCGGCGGCGTCGGTGGCAAGCAAATCCCTCTTTACATGTATAATATTACAGGAATATTATAGTTACATTGTAAGTGTAACTAGGTATATATTTAATAATAATAATATAATAATGTATGATATTAAGTACCTACACATCTATACACACGTCTTATACACACAAAAATAGTTGTAGACCTATCGCATTCATCGTTGTTAAGATAAAACCAGGGTTAAGCCTAAGGGAGTTAGAGTCTATGCCGTCGGAGTAGGTTTATGATATTTGCAAGTGACTGAATTTTTTAATTTTGTTAAAAAAAAATTCTTTGGGACAAAATACTTGAAAATTTAACAGAAGACTCAACATGAGTCGTTCTCACTGTTTTTCAAAAATTATAAAAAAGCATAGGCACAATTTTTTTTTATAAACGTTTGAAGTGAAAATATTGACAAAATTCGTCAAAATCATGAATATTTGCTAATCATTTTGAAGTTAAAAATTAATAAAACATTTTTCATTTCAAGCTAAGACTTGAAACTTTAATTCAAAGTTGTCCATAAGTTAAGCTTAGAGTAATTATAAAAAAAATTGAGTCATCCAATTAAAAAAATTTGACGAGTGTTAAAATTTTCACCAAATCAAAATTCAAGCGTTAAATAATGATTTACAAACAAACGAATTTTGATTTTTAGATTCTGAACGAAGTGATGAATGTATTGAATATGTATTGAATATGAATGATTTTAAAAGATGTGTGTGTTTTTTTTTGTTTTTGTGTCTGTGTGCACCACAGTCGAAACAATGCTTCAATTTCAAATTTTGGGGGTAGTTTCTGATGTAAAAGTGAATATCCTTGGTGCATTATAGAGGTCAAAAGTTAACATTTACCAACAGTTTTCCCCAGTCAAAGGTCCACCCCACCACCTAATGTACAGCATAGTGACATCCACTTACCCGCTTTTTGTTATATTTAATTTAATATATTAATTTAATTTATATTTTTATATTACCATAGTAAATAGTAATATACTTTTTGTCTATAGTTACTCTAGTATACCTAAGATAATAATAAGGTTATAACTATATTATAGGTACCTAAATATGGTAACACTTGTATAGGTAATATGTTATTGTGAGCATACCAAATAGTTATTATGACTTACCTTAGGCGCACATTGGAATGAAATKCAGGGGGTGCTAATTTTATTATTTTATTTATAATTCATATTATATTTTAAACAAACGTGCGCCTATATGGTTATAAGTTATAACCATAAAAACCTACTATCAGACGTAGCGGCGAAACGTCATAGACAAAGAGACAATGTATCCCCCACTTAGAAATTAGAATACGGGACAAATAAATAATTATTTTGTTTTATATAATATTTAC